CTTTCCACATGTTTTCTAGACTTCTGCTCTATTGTTGATGCCCACTGGGTTCTTTCCAGTTGGTCCATTTCTTGAAGTTGAGCATGTGAATATAGACCCACTGTCTTAACTGAGGCCCTAGCAGTGCTAAGTAGAAAGGAGTACTTTATGGTTACATTTCAGAGGAGTAGTAGGGTTTTTTTCAACAGAAGTTGGCATTATTGAGCACACTGAACTTTGGTAATGTCTGTAGCCTTTAAAAAAAAAAAGCTGATTCTTGAAATGGCTGATTCTTCCTACTGCTGTAGCTTTACAGCTCAGTAGGTATGACAGTAACTCTGGCTTCAAAATCATCTTGACAAGTTGGAGAAATGGATTGAAACTCATTAAGAACAAATGTGAGGTGTTACAGTTCAGCAAGACTAAAGTGCTCCTGCCTGTCCACTCATATCCAAACATGGACTACCAACTTTGATTTGGGAGGTCAAGGGCTGCAATCTAAACTTGGCCAGAGTCTGAGGTTTTAAGTCTTCCCTTCAAAGATCCTTTATTTTGGTATTTATAGCAAAGCCCTTCCTGATATGATTGTAAACAACGCACATTGGAAGTGAGAAGGAACTGCTGAGGAGCAAGGCATGGGAATGTTTTAAATTGATGCTGCTGAAGCAATTGATGATGCTGTAACATTGCTACTCTTGGATGTAATCCTTTCTAAAACTAATACATCTCAGTTGAGAGTATTTTGAATTTTTATTCCTGTCCAATGTATTTGTAGACACTGAGAGTATCAAATACTCTTGCATCCAAACAGGTCCCTATGTTTCTTCCTGCCTGACTCTATTTCACGTTCTGTTGAAGCAACCGGGTGAAGCTTAAGTGAGCTAGACATTACTGTTGGTGGTTTGAAGTAAAGATCATCCCATGAGTTTACAGTCCTTAGTTGCAGGCTTGCTGTTTTCATCTAGATAAAAATGATGTAAAAAACTCATGGTAGAGGGTTTCATATAGTCTTGTGTTTCCTTTTACTTTGCTGGAAATTTGATGGAATTTTGCGAAGAGATGTTGTACAGTTGTTTGTTCTCTGTGTGCTAATCTGACTCAGACCAAACCGTGCTTCTGGGCTGTGCCCTTTGCAGATCAAAATCGCAAATTGCTTAGCCAATTATTTTTTAATACTCTTGTGGACAGAGGAAGTTTATTCCTGTCAAAAAGGAGGTCTTTATTTCTTTCCTGTTATGAAAAAAGTACTTTATTTGTTTACCTTTAGTAGATTTCTATGGAGTACATTCTAAAACCATAAAAAAACTCCAGTGTATCTGTAGCAATGACTAAGAAAGATGCTTTTGCTTGAGTGTTGCTGCCTTATATTATGTTCTTGGCATGAAGCAGTGCTTTTCATTAATACCCAATCTAAGTGAGATGTACTTCGTGCTCAATTAGACTTGCTCACTGCAATACTACTTAGACCTCTTTATGTCTCAGTGACCCAGATGTATATTAAGCAGATGAGCTAAGAAATGTATTTTCAGATACAGCAGATCAACTTGCTTAAGTACAAACTTAACTACACACCCATGGTACACACTCGCCCTGTTGTAATGCATCCTCCTTGTAGGTTGCAGCTACTAAATGTAATGCTGGGAAGGACCAGAAAACTTTGTTTCTGTTGGGTCATTCAAAATGAGTTGATGTTTCTGTGGTTTTTGTTTCTTCCTATCTTACTGTGCTTATGCTGTGATCTGATAAAATATCACTCTTCAGGGCCTCTGTTTGTAGGACTAGAAAAGCAGCTAGGACATAGCTGAGCATTTGGAGGCAGAGAGGCCAGTTAAATCCAAATTAAGAGATTCTAACTCATTTACAAGGTGTTCTAGTACTTTGATTATACTTTTTTTTTTTCTCTTATGCTGCATCATTTCACTGCATGCTTGGACCAAGAGCATATATTCCCACAACTTTGCATTAAACTTGGCTTTTAATCACTGGCATTTTGTTCTTCCTCAGAAACTCTTTCCAAGCAGAATTATTTTTGAATTTCAAATAAAAATAAAAGTGGACAATAATGGAGGCACAACAGAGTTGTGAATACTGCCATGCAACCCACTTCATTTTTGCCTGATCAAGATAGAAAACTGGTACTGGAATTCGGTTGTATGTTGTGCTGTTATGATCAAAAGTGCAGCATTTTAGATTAGTATCACTGCTACTGATAAAAACTTTATTTAATTGGCAGTTATTTATTATTTTATGTGAGACTTATTCACATAACCTGAAAAAGTTTAAAATTCTTGGAATTATTTTGTAGATATTTCTATCTTCCTGTAGCTTCCAGGAGGAATTTGTGTGTAAAATGTATTTTAGAGATTTGTATCTGGTTTCATCTATAATCATGTATGTAAACATGGATCATAGCATACTTTTCCTTCGTGTTCTACAGGTTGGTATCTGCTGGAGCTACTAAAGTTTATGCCATTCTTACTCATGGCATCTTTTCTGGTCCTGCTATTTCTCGGATTAATAATGCATCATTTGAGGCTGTTGTGGTGACTAATACAATCCCTCAAGAGGAGAAAATGAAACACTGCCCAAAAATTCAGGTACAGTGGTGGTTTTGTGTCATCTATTTAAACTCTAGGTTTGTATTTTATTGTTTACTGATGCTAGAATTTGTGCCTTGAGATGAAAATAAATTAATATTCTGAAATGCCTTGTGCAGCTTTTGTTGTTTACGTAACTGTTTTAATGGGATTCAGGTAGTACAACAGACTTCTGCAACATATTTGGTATTTGCAACAGATTGAGTATGCTTGACTCTGAAAAAGTGACAAATGCAAAATTAGCTTGGTTTTTGTTTGCTTGATCAATATTAATCATACAATATTAGTATGTAGAAACTTAAATTAGTTCTGTTATTGTGGATGCCACAGAAACCTTATACTACTTAATCATTTTTTTTTAATACATTAATGAAAATGCTTAAGATAAGTGACATATGTTTCTTTTCAAAAACAAAGCTGAAAATATAAAGCTGACTTCTGTCAGTAACTTTTACATGGCATTGATATGAAAGTCCTGTGTCCTTTTGGGAGCTTTTCCTTAGTACAGAGTGGAGGAAGTAATAAAAAGAAAAAATATTAATGCAGTATTGAATTTTAAAAAGCTTAAGTTTGTTATTTATTGAAACAAGGCAAGCATTTAAAAGGTATACTTCCTTTAAACTGTACTTGTGTCAAGTGGACACTGCCATCTGTTGGCTAGAATAGTTTCTTTTTTGACAACGTGCTTTGTGCCAGAAGTCTTCAGCAGTATGCCTGTGCACCAATCCAATTCAATTCTATTCCTTATTCAGTTTTTGAGATGGTACTTTGTATTAATGCAGTTCTTATGTTATGTGAAGTACCTAATGCTTTAACATTATTCTACTTCCTAGAGAGATAAGAGAGCACAATGTTAAATTGAATGTTTGTTTGACTGTTCATAAACTGTACAGTTTATTGTTCTTGGCGTCCCATAAAATTTGTTGTCTTGGTTTTTCTTTCAGTTTATTGACATTTCCATGATCCTGGCTGAGGCAATTAGAAGAACACACAATGGTGAATCTGTGTCTTACCTGTTCAGTCATGTCCCCTTGTAACTGCGGGAAGTTACATTGCAGCTTTGCAAAGGTCCCTTCAGCTAGCACTGTTGTTTTTAACAACGCATCTCAACCACGATAAATTAGTATCTTTGTACAATTCCAGAGCTTTTATGCTTAATTATTATATTTCTCTTGTAATTACCATTTGTTCTTTGTAAATGGGCAATAAATCTCTGTCTCACAGAAACTTTATGAATTCCCTTGAGAATCTGGAAATCTTATGCAACACACAAGTTCTCTTTTATGTGTTCATCCTCACTTTCTGCTAAACTGCTGCTTTGCATCCCTTTTTCTATACAGAACTACAAACTGTTCATAGAACTTAATGGGATATATGCATGTAAGATCAGTTTCTGTGTTAAGCTAAATGCTACAGGCTTGGGTATCTTGTGTCTATTCATCTATCAGGCAAGCAGCTGCTGGTTTTTTGGTTTTTATGTTTAAAAGCCCTAACAGCATGTAAACTTCATGTTAATTTTGAAGGAATTTTTGACATATCCATAGTATTAACTGTTTCATATGCTTCATGTTCTTTTTTTCTACAAGATGTATATGCCTGCTGTTTTCTTTTGTAAAGCTCTCATTACATTAAATAGTTTCCTTAACATCTATTCTCTGCAGTTACTGTCTTCAATTGTAAGATTAATGTTTTGGTATTCTTTGGATGATTAATTTAATGTGTTTCAATAATAAGGACCAATCTTTAATCATGAGCACTTTGGTTAAAATTTCATGTTTTCCACATAGTTTTTGACATTCCTTGGTTGTCCTATCAGTTTTCCTGTTAATATTGCAAAGCTTCACTATGCAAAGTCCAAACAACAAATTTAAACACGCTTATATTTATACAAGCTGGTCTCTATCCACATTTATTTGATTAATAGTATCTGAGAATACTTTTGTGGTTTTGTTTTTTTTTTGTTTTTTTCTTTTTCAAACTGCACAGTCAATGGAGCTTCAGGCTTCTATTACAAAGTACCACAGTACTTTATTGTGCTGCCAGTGAGCTATGATAGACTAACTGGTCTTGAGTACTTTAACATTAGAAAACTGAAATAATTATTAAAACAGTTTTGCCTCTTCTATGCTGAGAAAGCTTATGATTCAGTACTGGTACTGCAGTCAGTAATGGATTCTGGGGAAAAAAAACAAATATAAGATTGTGATGTTAGGTCTTTTAATCCTTCTGTTGAGTGTTTTCAGTCTTCCTGCTAGAAAGAAAGAGTTTGTGTGTATTAAAATAGTGTTCCTGCACCTAAATCATGGGGAAACTGTTTTCTACCTGAAATTGCAGTTGTTAATTACAAAAGCATTTGCCATGCCTGAGAGATGCTTCTTTAATGTGCAAATGGTTAAAATATAGACTTATTTCATCCTGCCTTGCTTATTCTGGGATATATTTCTAGTTATACCGTGTTGTATTATAAAATGGATTTTCCAATTTCATTTAAGATCATCTTTCAGACAGATACTTCTTTCAGTTTCTCTGAAAATGAATCTGTTTTGTCTTTATATTTTTTTCTGGTAATTTTCTATTTCTTCTGTGAGTTTCTTTTTCCTATATGAAAATGAGTAAAGCAGAATTTCACCTGTACTGCTTTCAGTGATGAGTACAGAAATGGGTTATATAAGATACTGTGGTGAGAATTTGGTACAGCCATCATTTCTCAGAGGAATTCCTCATTACAGTTGAATTTTCGAAACTATGTTATAACACAGTGAGAACGAATTTGTTATTGTTTTATTTGGTAAAGCAATTTTTTAAATGTAAGATTATTTAACCTATTGTCTTGAAAATATTACTTTGCAGTTAAGTTGTTAACCCCAAGTCTGTGGCCACATAATTATACCAAAGTTTAGGCCTTATTACTACTCAAAATGTATAAAATATGTTTAATGCATAGTATCAATTCAGTTGTTTCATAGATCAAATCTTTGTTGCAGACAAAATGCTGAATTGTTTGCCTTTACTGTGCACAAGTATTATAAATAAATCTTGAAAAATACTTGTGCCAAGAGAATGCTTGTATTTTTATTATTTTGATATTCTTCTTTTTGAAGACCATGCCCTGCATGGGTCAAATAGGGAAGAATATAGGCATTGATTCTCATGCAACCCTTGCTCATAAATCACATTCCAGCTGTCTTGAACATAAGGATGAACTGTTAATCAGACTAGACTGGTACGCATCTTTATAATAAGATCATTCTTCTTCTTTTTATAGTCTGACAGAAGGGTCACGATGTTTAAATTTCATTGGAAGTTTGACTTAACACTTTTTGAGCAGCTGAAGTTCTTATTTCTCAGATAGTTGAGTGGATTTGCTTATAACAGTATTTAACAGGATGAGTTGAGGGAAAGTGCAGAAAGAAAATACAGAATTAAGCTGACTGCTGTGTTTTGTGCATTTGAAATGCTTATGAAGAGTTACAGATGAATTCCAACAGCTCTGTGGAAGTCCTATCCATTTTGACAGAATTAAAAAACAAGTAAACAACCTTTTGTGGATGCAGCAAAGTGCAAGATGTTTAATGCTCTACAGTCCTAAATCCATGCTGGGATTCTGGTCTGAAGATCTTATGACAGTTCAGCCTGGTGGGAAACTTTCTTCTCTCAACAGCACATTGTGGTTTAACCCTAGCAAGAACTAAGCACCATGCAGCTGCTTGCTCATGTCCTCCTGCCCTGCACTCCGGTGGCATGGGAGAGAGAATCGGACGAAAAAGGTAAGAAAGCTAATGGGTTGACGTAAGAACAGTTAATAATTGAAACAAAATAAAAATAAAAAATATGCTAATAATAATAACTTGTAATTATAATGAAGACAACAAAAAAGAAAGATAAACTAAACCGCAGCAACTAAAACATCAATGTGTCATCACGCTATTCCCAGCACAAATCCAAAACATAGTTTTCTTCATAGTAACTAGTATGAGACTAACTCTTATCCTAGCTAAAACCAGCACACAACATTGTTTTGAATAATGCCAAGCCCCCGACACAGCTAGTTGGGAGAGAGAATCAGGAAGGCAGAAGTGAGAGCAGCTTATGGGTGGAGATAAAGACAAGCTAATAAATGAAGAAAAGCAAAGCACATAGTGTAAAAGCAATCATTCGCCCCCTTCTGCCAGCAGACTGATGCCCAGCCTCCAAGTGATGGGTGCTTAGCAAAACTCAGCCCCCCACCCCCAAGTTCTATTGGTGGGTATGGCATGGGTTATTCCCTTTGGTCAGCTGGAGTCTGCTGTCCTGGCTGTGTCCACCCCTAGTCTGCTCCCCCATGGGGCAGTGCAAGTTCCCTAGTAGCTGGTGTGTTTTCAGTCACCAGACTCTGGACAAGTTCCAGCAACTCGATGAAATTCTTGTAGTGAGGGGCCCAACACTGAACACGGTATCTGAGGTGTGGCCTCACCAGTGCCAAGTACAGGAGGACAATTGCTTTCCTGGTCCTGCTGGCCACATGATTACAGGCCAGGATGCTCTTGGCCTTCTTGGCCACCTGGGCACACTGCTGGCTTATATTCAGTCAGTTGTGGACCAAGACTCCCAGGTCCTTTTCTGCCAGGCAGCTTCCCAGCCACTCCTCCCCAAGCCTGTAGTGATGTAAGGGGTTGTTGTGACCAAGTGAAAGACTTGGAACTTGGCCTTGCTAAATCTCATACAATTGGCCTTGGCCCCTTGATCCTGCCTGTCCAGATGCCTTTGTGGATCTTTTCTATCCTCAAGCAGATCAACACTCCTGCTCAACTTGGTGTTGTCTCCAAAATTGCTAAGGGTGCACTCAATAGCATCGTCCAGATCATGGATAATGATACTAAACAGGACTGGCCCCAGCACTGAGCCCTGGGGAACACCACTTACAATTGGCCGCCAGCTGGATTTAACTTCATTCACCACAATTCTTTGGGCCTGACCATCTAGCCAGTTTTTTACCTAGTAAAACCATCCAAGCCATGACCAGCCAGTTTCTCCAGAACAATGCTGTGGGATATAGTGTCCAGGTAAATGACACCCACAGCCTTTCCCTCATCTGCTCAGTGGGTCACCTTGTCATAGAAGGACATTGGATAAGTCAAGCAGCACCTGCCATTCATAAACCCATGCTGACTAGGCCTGATCATCTGGTTGTCCTGTCCATGTCACAGGATGGCACTCAAGATGATCTACTCCATAACATTCCCTGGCACCAAGATCAGACTGACTGACCTGCAGTTCCCCAGGCTCTCCTTCCAGCCCTTCTTGTGCATGAGTGTCACATTGGCTAATCTCCAGTCAACTCAGACCTCCTTGGATAGCCAGAACTGCTGATAAATGCTTGGTTAACACTTATGTCAGGTTACTCAGTACCCGTGGGTGGATCCTATCCAGCCCTGTTGACTTGATTGTGTATAAGTGATGTAGCAGGTTGCTAACCATGTCCCCTTGGATTATGACTGCTTCATTCTGGTCCCTGTCTCTGTCTTCCAGCTCAGCAGGCTGGGTAGCCCAAGAACAACTGGTCTTACTATTAAACACCGAGGCAAAAGCAGCATTAAGTACCTTAGCCTATTCCTCAGCCTGTGTCAATATGTTTATCCTGCATGAAAAACAGACTCCTTCGCCACCACATCCAGTAAAGGATGGAGATTCTCCTTAGCCCTCCTTTTGGTCTTAATGTATTAATAGAAACATTTTCTATTCTTTTCTACTGCAGCAGCTAAATTAAGTTCCAGTTGGCCTTTGGCCCTTCTAATTCTCTTCTTCTAAGTCATCATGAGTTGATGGCCTCCCGAGTTGTCTGCTCCTTCTTCCAAAGATCATAAATTATCTTTTTTCCCCCTGAATTCCAGCAAAAGCGCTCTGTTCAGCCAGGTCAGTCTTTTTCCCTGACAGCTCATCTTTTGGTGCAAAAGGACGTATTGCTCATGTGCCTTAAAGATTTCCTTCTTGAAGACTCCTTCTGGACTCCTTTACCCTTCAGGACTGCCTCCCAGGGGACACTGCCAACCAGGACCCCAGACTGGCCCCTACAGTCTGTTCTCTGGAAGTCCAAGGTGGCAGTTCTGCTTACCATGCTCCTTACTTCTCTGAGAATTGAAAACTCTATGATTTCATGATTACTGTGCCCAAGACAGCCTCCAACCACCACATCATCCACACGGCCTTCTCTGTTCACAAACAACAGGTCCAGCAGGGCGCCTTCCCTA